ACGTGAACGCGCTCTCAGCTGGAGAGAGAAACCCTGGCTTGATTTACCGAGTTGATAACCAGCGTCGTAGGACCGCTTAGCGAGATTTCGTTTGTTAGGGTTAGTTAAGATAACTCAAACATATCCAGGGTCTGTTGAACTGGCTTCGTAGTGCAGGGCACAGGTGGCTGCATAGCAGCGCTAATGTCAAAGACACAAACATTATACATTATATTTGTATTGGACCAGGATGCAGTGATACAAATATTTGGGAAGGCTTAACCTTCCCTAGCCTACAGTACCTGCCGCCCCTGCCTCCAGACCCATAAGCCAATAAGAAGACAGTATGTCACAGGTTCTCAGATTTATTTTTCCAATGGCTTTATAGACCACATCTCGACACTAAAAACCTCTCGTCAATGATTTGTTACTTCATTGTTCGTAAGCAAATCCATAAAGGTTAAAGGATAGATTTAGTGTTTTTATAAGCACGTGTTTGTCAGGTGTTTCCAGGTAAAGCAGCTTTATAAGGGTCATGTGAAGTTTCATCTGTTTTGATTGAATCAGGTGAATGTCACGGGGCTCATGTTGTTCCTGCTTTAAAGTTGTTCAATTCACAACACGTGGATGAAAGGGTGTGATGGTTTCCACTGTGTGAAGGAGGTGTCCCTCATTAGATCCCGCCTCTAACGCTGCTTCATTATCACTGTTGGAAGCTGATAGTGAGAGAGCGACAGCAGGAAACCATGAAAAGAATGATTTTCTTTATTTAAACAAGGAGAGAATCTAATGTTTGCCCACATGCACGTTCGGTTTTATGTTATATTAAAAGATTGGTTAATCATTCGGCTACTGCATGAAGAAACTGAGATAATACGCCTTTTTTCCAGCTAATACTTTTTATTATTTCCTCATGCAGCAGTTAGGGAGCCTCATAATCAATATTTTACGTCATGTGCGTCCAACTGATGAACATATATCCTTTAGCTGTGCAATTCAGAATGAATATCCTATTGTAGCACAGCACTGGATTAACAGTGACATAGATTGTAGTGAGATGTTCACCTTCTTTGATTATATTCCGTTATATCAATCTCCTAACTTCCTATTCTGTTGTAGCAACGGAAAGGATCTAGATCAAGTATTCTGATTGGCTGAGTTGGAAATGTGTTGCACTGATTGTATTAACTTGTGATTGTCCTTTTCAGATCATGCTCTCCGTCTATGGAACATACAGACGGACACGTTAGTGGCCATATTTGGCGGTGTGGAAGGGCATCGAGATGAAGTCCTGAGTGCTGTGAGTCTAGATTGAATTCAGCTCACGTGGGAATACAAATGAAACCTGGTTTACGATGTTTTTTTGATTCTCCCTGCAGGACTTTGATCTACTTGGCGAAAAGATAATGTCTTGTGGGATGGACCACTCCTTAAAACTTTGGCGAATCAATTCAGAGAGGATGCAGATAGCCATCCGAGGGTCTTATGAGTACAACCCCTCCAAGACCAACAGGTAGATATGGTCACTGTCCAGTGGTGTGGTCTTGTAGCAACTCAAATCTTCTCTTTTTTTGAATGATTTCATTTTTTGGGTGTGTTTTTTTCTTTTTCTTCAGGCCTTTCGTTTCACAGAAAATTCACTTCCCGGATTTCTCAACACGAGACATCCACAGGAACTACGTGGACTGTGTGCGGTGGCTCGGGGATCTCATTCTCTCCAAGGCAAGTTAGGAATAATTAGGACAAAACAGAAACCTTAAAACAATAACTTTTTGAAGACAAATCAATCAAACTTTATTTTTATAAAACCTTTCATAAAAACAGTAACACAAATTGCTTCTCACAATACATGAGTAACACATGGTCACTTCTGGGCAAGAATTACGTCTCCGCCCACTTTTGGGGGAAACCAACGCTGTCATTTGAATGGCGTTCAATTAGGGCTGGGCGATATGGTCTCTAAATGATATCGCGATATTTACTGGCTATATCGCGATATACGATATATATCGCGATATTCTGAAATGTCCTTTAAAAAAAAAAATAATAATTTTTTATTTAACCCCTTGATGTTTACAGTCACGCCAGTATGATGATTCTAGTAGTCCCTGCAACATATGTCTGCATTAAAAAAATCGACTAATAATGAAGAAAATGAACACATTTGTTGCCATAGTAATTTATGCACTAACTACATTACTACTTGTACTACAACATTTGAATCATCAGTTCTTCCTCATTTTCCTCAATTGTTCATATTTGGTTTATTAAAATAATGATATTGTGGTCATTGTTCAAAAATGTCTGCTATTATTATGAGTAGTATTATTATTATTAGTATAATGCGCTTTCTGCCTTCCTGTCATTATCAGGAGTTAGACATGTAATGGCTATGTAGTAGATTAGATTAGAACCTTCATTCTCCTAAACTGCTGGGACATTTCCCTATAGCCAATACCTTTTATATTTTCTACTCTTCACTTACTTGTCAGCATAGGTCGGCATTGATGTACAGAGCCGACAGAAGACCTTGTTTATATTGGCATCATATTGAGAGGTGCAGTGACGCGTCCTAAAA